ACAAATATTGTAAAGTTATTGAGTTATGATATTCCCAAAAAATTACACATTAGTTTTATTGTTCGCATAAAAACGTTTACAGTATCTTGTATAAAAATGCTTAAATTTATTAATTATATATCTCAAAAAGAAGGGTAAGTTATTGTCATAACTAAATATATTTTAGAATTATGCTCTTTCTATCCATCACTCATTTCATCCTATGGGTGCCATAAGAGGCGACTATGAGAAATTTCAAAAGGATTTGGTTTCTGATAGATATACAGTGTAAATATAAATTACTCGAACACAGTGCCAGAGTCTAGCTTTTGTGAATTTTCCATATATTCTAAATATAGAAAATTACCATCAGGTGAGTCGCATACTCGTTTACCTTCTCCTCATTAAAAAAAATGAGTAATTTTGGTAAATAAGTATAGAATTTGTTAATAAGTCGACTACAGCGCCGCCTTAGGATCCTATTATAGCTATGAAACATCGTCTCGATAAAAAAGTTGATTTATATTGTGTCGATTTGATCTCAGTCGGCCAAGATGTTCATCGATACGATCTTTAACCGACTCACCAAAGATAATAAATATTTTGCTAGTAAATAAGACAATGCTAGCGTATTTATGAACCATTAATGTGTTGGATCCGATATTGTCTTAATGCCAAAATTAGTATTCGATTAAATTCGGTTACGTAAAGCATCATTTATTGATCTCACGAATTTCCTAAGATCTCTTAATTATCGTAAGCTCCATCTGCCCTATTTACTTACATAAGTTTTACTAGTGTTTTATAAACACAGAGAGCTTTTGCGTTGGACCTCTATCAAATTTGACGAGTTTGATGAGTTTTGGTACGGAGTATCTAATGGTTAGTAATTTTACTTTTATCGCTGCCAACTTATGTAATCAACACATTCTCCGTTTACATTTAAATTGTGAACTGTATTTAAATGTCAAAAGTACTTTCAAGATTGTCTTATCTGCATTACCTTCTCATCCTTCCTATCATTGATGGTGAACTATACTTGTGGAATCATATCGTTTACGTAATAATTTATATGTTGCATAAACGTCATGATTACTGTTTACTTTTTTTTTGATAAAAACACCAGGGTTAGTATATTTTTGTACATTTTATTGTATTCTTCTGTCTGAAGGTTAAGTTCATCGGGTAGGTGAAAGGTCTCGTATGTCAAACGCCTCTTGATCCTCGTGGCTTCTGCGAAAGGTCGACTTAAAACTATTTATCTCTGCCGCGGTTCTTATTTATCCATAAATTGAATGTGCCCCTTGTAAATGAAATTTATTACGTGTATTACCTTGTATCAATCATGTCTGATTGGTTTAACAAATTGCTTTCTCTTTTACGATCATATTTATCTGTTCTTTTAAAAATAACTATAACTGGTATTTTTGATCACTTGTTTTTTGTGGTGTCAAAAAAATTAAATTTTCATACTTCTTTTTTCTTTCTTTCTTTACTGCATTCTTAAATAATTAACAAAATCGAAAGTAACACGAGTTATTTGTATAAAAATTACATTCCTAAACTTTTCGTTTTATTCTTCTTCTTTATCTCAACTCGTAAAATTTTATTGCTAAACATCGGCCTCTTCCGTGGTATTTCTGTGGATTTGCTTTAATTATCTCGCATTCCTCAGAGGTGACAACACTTCTGTAGCCTTCTTTGATTGAAGTTGACTGCAGGTGTCCATCAGATGTACTGTATGTTCGCTTGTCACTTCAGTTTTATAAACAAACGTCGACTGAAGAGATAAGAGAGTCAATATTAATCTATCGAATCAGCAGACAGGTGCGTTAAAAATTACTTAGCAGTAAAAAGTTACTTAGTCTAACGAAAAAGTGTATGTAATGTACATTATATACCCTTAAAGTTTTTAATCTCTCAGACACGTAAACTCCACTGCGAAAACATACGATACTAGAGTCCAATGTATCATGGTTATAATTTCAAGACCTTTTCGACCAAGGCGTTGCAAACTTGCTTTTAGTAATATTAATGATAGAAGCTATAATATACATATAGACATGAACTGGATTTTTCTTGTTAGCCCTATCGCTGATGTTAACTGTGAGCTTTGTTTTATTGTTGTATATTAGAAGGCATAATTTATGTTGAGTGTATTTTACTTTTTTATTTTCTTTCATTTAATTCATAATAGTATGAAAATTAACAATGTAAACCATTTACCACTTCATAGTTTAGTCAACATCTTATCAAAAGTCCACTGCTGAACATAGGCCTCCTCTATAGATTACCCTCTAGCGGGGATATTTGCCATAGTCGCCACGCTTGGCAGGCGGGTTGGTAACCCATTTCTTATTTCAGTTTTACTCTGTAGTTTCTTACGACACCCACGGGATGGATGAATAGATGGGGTAGTGCCCATGATTTAATGTTATCCGGTAATTTGGCATACGAATAAAGCATAATTACACTGAACGCCTTCCTCAAGCTTTATCAGCGACCTACAATTTGCCGTAAGTTAAAAAGAGAAATGTCCCTAATAGTTACGGTCCGTAGGGCCAAGTGAAAGTTGGTAACATCTTTCGTGAATCAGTCCACAGCATTGTATGTCACGATCCAGATTTTTCTTTAGCCATCAATCTTTTGTAGTGTTGAGGTTCTGCTGGCGTTACTAGAAAGCACATCTATTTAAATGTTACCTTTGCTTTATTACTGACAATTGATTCTACATACTTGAGGCAAATTTGAACCTTACAAAATTTTAGGGCCGTTATCTTTAAACTGAGCAATAATATATCTATCTTATATTATTGCTCAGTTTAAAGTTCAGATGTAAAATTATAACAACTATGCAGGATGCAGTCTTTGCAAGTTATCCTAAAAGAAGTGTGAAGTATGCTAATAAGCGATAAACTATGGGCATATGTATAGGCTGTAATTTTATTTTTTTATTTCTTCATAATAACCATTGTTAAACTAGGGTAAGTACAGTCTTCTCGTATGATTATTTTGTTTAACTTCGTAAGCATCAACTTATATCGTGATATGACTTCGTTTCCTATTTCATGTTCACCCCATCGTTTGTGTTTTCATTTAATTGCCCGCGTTACGCAAAATCAATTTTTAATTTTCGACTTTTGCATATTTATCTGGTTTATTTACGCAATGAAAATTGTAACATGTATGACATTGTCTCTATCATCTTCGCTTTCTACATCTGACAAGTTATTGGAGAAAGTAAATACGCAACGTAATATTATCAATTATGATTACACTCTAGTCTCTCTGTTTCCACCGGTAGTGTTTCGCGGAACAATTCTGCGTTTCCAACAACAATGGAAACTTGACTTGTTATTTTCTTATATACGGCTTTTTGTTATTTTCTATATATCAACAATATTTGTGCATTTTATCGCGCTTCATTTACGAATTCAAGACAAAACTTTGTTTAATAGTTAGTATTACTTCCTTAGGTTTCTTATTATAATAATTGTTCAAAACACTGTCTGTGGTTTCTTAATTCTATTTTTTTTTAATTAAAACTTATACTTTTTTTTATAAAAATCTATTTTTTTATTTACTCCTCTTTTCTCGCATAAATTTTAATTAAGTGTTACATAAAATGTCACACGTCCATAATTTTTGAACATTTGTATTTTTATCAATTCAGTCAATATAATGTTTCCTTGCTTTTAACTTTAGTATCGTTTCATTAATTAGAAAATTATTTATATAAATTCATTTTCAATAAATAAAAAGAAATTTATTGTGTAACTACGTCGACTTTGTTTCAATTTTGTCACTTCCCTCTAATTGAGTAATGTTCAGTCGTGCGGGACTATTTATTTCTACTTTGTTTATTGAAAGCAGTCTATTTCCTTTACAACCTGTGTTTTCAATTAAGATCAAATCACACTTATTTTTTCTCTTGTTTTAGGGGAAAGTTTGTGTAAGTTTAGTTTATTTTATTATTCTGAAATTATTACTTGTCACTAGTTAACGCAGGACGATAGTTGTTTACGGGCATCGCCGATATATGTAAAGAACTTGCCAATTTATTTTACTAATTTTGAATCCGACTAGATAAAAACACAGCTAGCAATATTTTGTGGATGATACATGTGATCGATTATTCAGCGGAGCCTGGCTAGGCCACTAATGTTAGTCAAAGAGCATACTTATGAAGTTACTTGAATACCCACACTTATCATCACCATCTCAATCATAGACAACTCACTTGCAATAAAGGAAGAAATGTCACAAAATAGTACATTAGGAAAGAACATTGTGAAATATGTACTGTAAAAGCCCGATCACGTTACACTTCTAAAGTAGGTTTTTGATGTCATGCGTGATACGCGATATGATCGATATGAGATGTTTTTAGATAGTGGCTAAATTCAGGTCAAATTTGGATGGACAAGCGTTAATTGTATCATGGCGTGTTGTGAAACCTTTTGCACGTTTATTATATGAAAAAGTATTTGTACATAGTTGGCATAGATTGAGTTTTTCATCAATTTTTCAACTTTAGTGGAGTTTGTTCACTTTACTCACATTCAGGACTTACTTTCTTGTAACGCACCCTGAGTGAACAATCGATTTTCCTTGCTTTTGAAGAACCATGGTGACAATAATAATGTATGTTACCATTTGTTCGATTGTTACTTTATGTATCTAAACACTTCAGACGTAGTTCCAATTCCAGGTTCTTGTTTGAAAACATTGCCTTACACAATATTTCTCGCTCATAAAATGTCCCGTCCTGGGTTCAAGACGAATGTCTCAAGATTAATGAAAATAGAAACTAAACACATTTGATATGGACAGAAAAAATCCTGACAAATGCACCAAAAAATTTATGTCTTTGGCTAATGCTTGAAAACTATTCACATTACTATTAAGTTTTATCCTTCGATAAGACATAAACAACGTGTGGTTACATTTGTCTCTTTCTTGCTATATATTGTCATGGAAAATGAGGGAGATGGAAGAGGCAGGGCGCCCGCGTGGCCGTTGATGCTCAGTTCGAAATGAAACGGAACAGTTTGCAAGTCGCCGGCACCGCGCATGGTCGACTCAAGCAGACAGTTCGTAACGCTCAATTCGTGAATTTATTATAACTTTTTAAAACTGTTATATTTACACAACTTTACTATTAAAATAGTGCCTTATTTATGGATGTGCTGGTGTATGCATGGATTAACAGCTACAAACAACTGAACGTCGAAGCAAAGTGACTGTGTGTGATTTAATTTGTTTTAGCGTTGAATTTTGTGTCCTTTCTGTATATATTTTAATTAAGGCTTCTTTCACAAGACGCTGCGAGGCATTGTTAAATGTTGGTGCACGTTTCGTCCCGTATATTGGCACGAGCCCTTAATAATAATAGTGCACCTAAACCAGTTTGCGTGTGCGGTGCTGTTTGTTCGTTCTTGGATTCTTGGTTGTCCTGCGTCTTTCATGCGGGCGCCTTTCTTATGAACGAAATTTTGTAGCATCTACATGTAAATCTGTGGTCTTTATTTGATGATGCCGTTCGCATATTTAGTCAATAATATTATTAATAATAATTTATACAATTTGTTAAAGAAATCAATGCCGGACTAAACGTTAGACTGATTCACCTTGACCCCTCAACTTAGTATCAATGAAGCCTCAGACATACAGACTTACAATTATTTTGAGACTGATCGAATAATCAGTATGACTTGTACGACATAATATAATATCTATCCTCTTATGGCTTACCGTTTTGTAGCAAATACAGTAAATACGGTGAGTAAACATAAATTGTTGCGATTAAGTTGGTTTTTACCTTGTTCAGCTGTCTACTGTAGTCGGCTGTATAACATTAACTCGTTCTTCGTACATACTATAAAAACCTGGCAAGTGGTTGAGTAGATCTTATTGAAGCCACTTAGCGCTCGTAAGTTTTTATAAGTGCATTTAAGCTGTGCTATCTTTGCTTCAGCACAACACAATGTGAACCCATAAATCTTTGATCATTCTCGCCTCGTGCATTGCTCTCTTTAAGTTTTCTTGCCACTTGTTGCACGCTCCGTTTAGTTTCTCAAACGTGATTATATTGTCGTTTTTTTACGCCCGCATGAATTCCCTTATCTAACTGAAAATCACAATCGTAATTTGAATTGCCCTATTCGTTTGCGATAATTCGTTTTTGTAACTGTTCCTCACATATTAGTTAATTACATTAGTGTATTATATTATTCACTAATATACCAGTTTGGTATTTCGAGTTTTGATACATTTAGCTTGATGTATGAAATAATTCAAACACTATCATGTGTAAATTTAAACTTACCATTCGAGAATGCTTAAAGTACTAAATATGCGAGCGATTGTTTATCCGTCAATGATTTGTAATGATCTAGTTTACGGAACACACCAAAAACGTTCGTTGCTAATTAGCTGTAGACCAGCAGCTGTGTAGCTGTTAAATTAAATAACCGCCTGTTATGTAGCGGCTTCTATGAATCATGCGTGCTAAAATTTTACCAGTGCTAATAGCATTTTGTAACGCAATATTTTCTCGAGTTCACTATAAAAAAATAAGGCTGGTATACATTTTTAATGTATTTTATGGACTATATGAACTCAAATTATCGAATATTGCATGACTGCGATAATGAATTTTTATCGCACTGTATACTTATTATGGAATATTTACAAAGATAACAAATATCTTTTGGCATTTGATTAACTTTTGTTATGATAGCTAAATATATCATTTTGTATGTTTTGTTTTGAATTCCACTATATTAATCTTGATTTTGTCTGTATGGAGCATTAAAAGCAACTGTATATTTACATCACATTCAAAGTTCTCATTAATTGACTAAGCCTGTTCAGAGTTTCCGTTATCCAATTCACAGCAGGCTTATTTCGCACGTTTTTGTTAAGTTTGCTTGCATGTTTTAGTAAAAACTAAGGTCATATACCGAAAGGACACAACCTTTGTTTCGCAGACGAACTATCGACTAGGTTTAAGTGATATAAAAAGTGTTCTTATATAAATATAAGTCTAACATATATACTTAATTAAAATAAAATATTTAAGATACATCTTTTTATCTTTTTGGAGATCTTACAAATTATCATTGCTGGCAACACTTTCAACATAGCTGTCATCCTGCAGTGTCTATTCTACGTTTACGCAAGATGATACAAATTACTAGGTAAGTTAAATGATCATTAGGTATACTTTTATTATTTACTCATCACGTTAAAACTATTGAGCCTTTCATACCCCAAGATACAGGATTATCCTAGTTTAGGTTCCAACGGAAAATATTTGTATATCAGTCTATTCTTGAACTTTGTTTATCTTACATACATTTGTTATATCAATATGTCAATAAAATTTATTAATTTAATTATTTAATTTATTGAACTACTAAAACTAGGTAGATTAACAATTTTTTCAATTACCAACCCCTTTTCTATTTCTGCCACCAAACGGCAGTGATTGATTGTGAGGCATTCCGTGTTAGTCCTCAAGAGTACCGCACGTAGTACGTAGCCTTCTTTGTTTAAAGTTGGTTGGTAATTAATATAATCAGGCGTTACTTTGCGGAAATACATTTTATTAAAAATGTAAAACATTAATTAGCCAAGATCCGCGTAATAAAATAAAATTAAATGTCTTACCTAATTAAAAGAGAAAAAAAGTAGATATTTGCGTCAGAAGCCCACAAAATTTCACTGTGGCGCTTAAATCTTATTCGAGTTGGGAGAATTTTTATGTGGTAGAACCATGCTGCAGCTATATTATGGTTATAATATGAATGGATCGACACGACCGGGGCAGGACAACGCTTACACAATACGAGCGTAAAATAGCACTTCATTGATGCTGCGTTTCATATGGTGAGTGTAGAGAACCAGAGACCCTTTTTACTGGATACGAGGCTTTCCATCTTAGTCCTCAACGGTGATAACGCATCTGAATCTAAATCTGAAAAAAATCTGAATTTGAAAGCTGGTACTTCTCGTGTGGTCTCATATGAATTTGATCAAGGTCAGACCAATCGTTTTAGAGTTATTCTTAATAACTTATATTGATGTCGGCTGTACAAAATTTTAAATTTTAAATTATTAAGATAATAATTTTAGCGTAATAAAATCTGCGACTGGGTTTATATTATCTCCCTCAAAAGATGGTGTTTCAACAAGTAGGCTAGTGGTAGTGCTTACCGTCATCATTTTAGCCCATCACAAATCCACTTTTTTATTATAGGAGAGGGGGCAAACGAGCATGTGGCTCACCTGATGGTAAGTGACTATCGCCGCCCATGAACAACTGCAACACTAGGGGAATTGCAGATGCGTTGCCGGCCTTTTAAAAAGGAGTAGGCTTTTTCTTGAAGGTCCCTAAGTCGTATCGGTCCGGAAAAATCGCTGGTGGTAATCGATTCCACAAGGAAGTTGTGCGAGGAAGAAAACTTATTCTAAATCGCACAGTAGTGAATTTAATTATGAATTATGAACATACTCAAGGAATGCCATCTAGTACAGGTCCTGAGCCACCGGCATCACAAAGGCTTGCTTTATGTTTTACCAGGTCGTCACTCCATCTAGTGGGAGCTTTCCTACACGCTTAATTTACTAGGCTGCCACTCGAGAACTTTTATTCTCCATACGTTGTCGTTTTTCCAGTTATATGACCAGCCTATTGCCACTTCAGCTTAATGATCCGTTGTACTTTTCCGGTTACTTTGATTCTACTGCAGATATGCTTATTACGAAATCTTATATCTCTAAGAACTACGCAACTCCTTGTGAGCCGCGTCTACATTCTTTGGCAGAATCGTTAGAGGACCTCAGCACTATGCTTAATGACCAGAATATAGTGTCTCCCAACGCATAAATCTCAAGATAAATATGTACAAGGCAAAGGGCACGTGTACCGCCCATGTCACACCTATGCCAGTAGTTGTTAGGAGCACTACGCTCGAAGTTGTTGACGAGATTGTTTACCTGGAACAAATTGTACTAATAGGTAGGTTCAAATTCAACCAAGAGTTCAATCAACTGATCCACCTCGGCTGTGCAGTGTTCGGGAGACGCACCGTCTCGTCACGTATCCCTCAAAACTTAAAAATAGGAGTATACAACCAGTGCCATCTCACTTCCATATATCACAATCAACACTGTGATATATGGAAGTGAGACGAGGTCCTACACTGCTGTCCCTATGAAGAAACTCAAGCTAGTTTCTCCGCGTGATCCAGTATACATAGATATTATACGTTCTATTTAATTAATGCCACTTAATTTTATTGTTACTTATTGGGACGAGTCATCTATACTCGTAATCTGCTCTCATAACTGACCCGCAAAAAATTCTTAGTAATTATAAATGACTGCGATTAGTCATACGCTGTTATCGTTAATTAATATACTTTATTAAACTATTCAATAATAAATGTTTTCTTTAAAGATTCTACTTTGAGATTTCTTAATTAATTGTAAAAGAAGTAAGTGGAACATTCGCTGCTGGCAAGTAACCAGTGGCCTCAAACAATTCTTTATGCTATAAAGTGAAACGTTAGTTTAATTTAACAACGGCAATTATGTTGTAAAGTTCCACATGCTAGAGGCTTAAAGCAGTAGGTACTAAAATATTATCTTAAAAATATTGACTATTTTGCCCCACTTTAGAAGTAGACTTCAGGCGATAAACGATTTGTTTGCTAGTATCGTTTTTTGAAATTATGAGATTTTTAGGTAATGAAACGTTTGTTTTTTCTGTACAAATAATTTTTAATTTGTTACGTTGCTAGTGTTTTGAAAGAAGTAAACGAAAATCTTAAAAGGTTAAAACAATAATCGTTATATCGTCAATTTGCTTTTTGTTTGTCTAGTGTTGTCTGTTTATATACATTTTTTATTTAAGGTTTATATGTACACTACTAGGTTATTAAATTTTAAGTTGCGATTGCATGAAGTATTGAGTGCTTATAATAAATAAGCACATGTCTGACGGTCGACACCAAACTTTACAAAATTTATTAGTGTATTTTTAAGAATTAAATTGATAATTATTATAAGATCAATAGCCTCATCAACTCGAACTATCTGGAAAAACTGTGGATTATTAAGTAGTTTAAAGTGTTCAATAACGATTTATATTAATGTTGATTTGTTGTTCACTAACTTCAAATAAGGAGGAGGTTCTAAATTCGACTGTATGTTATTTTTTAATGTATATTACGGGATAACTTCGTAAATTTTGAACTGATTTTGACGATTATTTTTTTGGGGAAATAGGTTTTATTTCAGGGGTAGTTCCATACATTAATTTAAGAGAAAATATTCACTCCCAAGGGTTGACAAATAGGAAATGTAGTTATTAATGTAAGTGTTTAGACGACGTTCCAGTTCTTGGTTCTTGTCTTGAATTTCTTAAATTCGTTAGTCCACTTAAAGGTTCAAAAACTTAAGCATTTTTAAAGTAAAAGCCTTCTATTTAGTATGAGTAAAATTAAATTTATATGTTGTGTATTTTTATGTAACTGGTGAGCGACTAAAGCTACGCAAAGTTTTCACTTGCCAGGCATCAGTTCATCGGTTCAGAGTGACTCGAATTATACTGAGTTTTCTTCACGCGTTGGTTACATTTTGTCGCCTTGTGTCTCTTTTGCGTGATCTATATGAAACCGTATTCTTCTTCAGGATTGTTTTATGTGGTTACGTGCTCATTTTGCATTTCCTTTGAAATTAACATGTTAACAAATATTGCCGGTTTCGAACCTAGCATTCAACATTCAATTGTCAGATGCTCTAACCATTAACCCACGTGGTTATCAAATTTTTACATTAATTATACAAGTATATTATTTTTTATTGCATTCCTTATAAAAAAAAGAATACAAACATTCTCTACCAGTCAACCCATGGAGTGGTGACAGTCATTTCATTTCGAAATCACTGTAGTTGTTGATTTTCGTCATGTAGCCGTTTAGTGATTTGTCAGCGTTACAAACGTGTGCGGATTTCGGCGTGTCCGTCCGGCTTTCCGCACTCTCTCCACGCTCTAATTACTCCACTGGATTCATACACTTTACAGCGCAGAATCATTGTGAAACTTGTTTCAGCAAAATTATTTTGACTGACTATACAAAACACCGCATTAAATAGATATATACACATTTTAAAAGTTTCAAAATATAAATTCACAATGCATTATTTTTTTAATTGCTAAAAACATTTGCGATGCAAACCAAACACTATGTTAATCTAGTGCATTGTAGTTAGTAATAATTAATAGTATTTAAGTAGTAACCGTTACTGCATATTTAAGTCTACTGCTGTAAATAGGCCTCCCCCATAGATTGCCTCGTAGGGTATATTGGCCATAGTCGCTACGCTTGGCAAACGGGTTGGCAACGGAAGTATTTACTTTTAGTCGTTATTAGGAAGACGCTGCTGCCCATCTCGTGATTTATTTCCCTCTGTCGACTCTTACGGCACCCACGGGTTGATATGGGGTAGTGGATATTCTTACACCGCCACTACAAGGTAGTAAAGCGGTACCTAATTACTAATTAATTTTTAAACTTGCCTACTCAATATAAAAACGTTTTTAAAGTACAAACAGGAGGGTAGACTTAAAACACCTTCGATGAATTGCCGTTTGTATTCGAATTAAAATGGTTTTGATGATCCCATGAGTGTATAAGGCAGAGCAATGCATGTTCGTTACATCAGTATTGTCCTAAACCGCAAACCTGGCTTGTGAGATCGGTTTCATCGAACCGAAAAGCGCGTAAACAACGTTCGAACAAAGTGGTGCCAGTTCAAATGTAATTTTAACATTACCGTTATGCGTTGCAGTCGCTTGATATCCGGACCAGGTCAGTTTTTGTTGGCCCTGGTATGAAGCGGTGCAGATTTCTTATTTGTGCAGTGCTCACGAGGTTTACGTGACAAACTTATAAATTGTCTTGACAGACGACATCTTGACACGTTTTTTGACTACTTCTTTAACCCATCATTATTATTTAGTTTTTACTTAAGATCTCATAAATTCTTTTACTAGTATACAAATTGTCAACTCTAGTACCTTCTGATTGTCCTTTATAAGTCTAATGCTGGAAAAGAACCTGTTTTAAAATTTGCCAGGAGGCATGCATTGTGGAAAGAGTTGCCAATACTAATTAGACGGGGAAATGGG